TAAGAAATATGAAAAATTACATGTTAAAAATTTTAAATTTAAAATGTTAACCTCCATTTTGAATGGTTTAGATTTCATCTAGTGAGAAGTACCAAAATCAAATCCCATCTCTCTAATACCAGGCACCTTTGACTCATCAACAATAATGGTGGAACTCGGTCCAGAATAATTAATTTCATTGATATGGAGCTTAATCACAGCTAGTAATTTAAATGTTTTTATTACCCTTACTTCCCAAACCATCTTATCTAGTTGTAAATTGCTTTGATGTAACGGCACCTTTTGCGTTCTTATGAATAAGTTGTTATCTCTTGTGACAAGATGTTAAAGAATCAAATCCCCATAATGAAAAAAAAAAAAAAAATATATATATATATATATATAGAGAGAGAGAGAGAGAGAGAGAATGTGCGGCGTGGAATTGTTGTGCGGTGTGTGCTGCGTGTGTGAAATGGAGGGTTAGATAAGAGATTAAAAAAAATTGCAAATTACTAGTACACCCATTGGGTATATAATCAAATGCTAAATTAAATATCTGTTGCCCAATTATAAATATATTTAATTAAATTATAAATGTATAGGATTTAAAATTTAAAAATATTTTATAAATTTTATGAAAATTTTTGATAATAAATTCTTTTATGTAAGATTTAGGTGTAATTTTTTCTTTTTTTTTATTATTGCAATGACCAATTGGGACTGTATGCACGCTCAGTATTAATTTTCTGGGAAATAACAAATTTAGTCATTTTTAAATCCTAATGAAATTTGATTCTATGTTTCGATTTAATTTATATATTTTGGTTAGGTAGACGTCATTCATCACTAACAAGCAACAAGAATTTGGGTATCACCTCACTTCTCCCACGCTACTTTTCTTTCCGGTAAAGCATAATAGTTTATATATATACATATATGTTTTAATTTATACTTTTTTTCTAAATATAAGTCATAATACATGTTTGGATTAATATATAATTGAAATTTTAAATTATATGTTTGGGGATGATTTCAACTCTATAATTAATTGGAAGCGTGACGCGGATGAGGAGCGAATGGAGAAGACCCCCATGTGGCTCTCCTTTTACCCAAATTAACGGATGTTAGTTTTAATTTAGAAAGATTTCAACTAAAGACTGGAAAAGATAAATATTTACTAATGAGTTTCAAAAAAGTTTGAAAATCCTTTACAAGGTTTTTGGACTGAATTGAAATAAAGTCAGTGGCTGAAAAAATTGAAATGTCTTTATGCAAAAGAAAGAAAAATGATTGATAACTAATATTAATAAATTAATAAATAAAGTTAGAGAATCAATAATTAATGATTCTGCATTTCAGACAAAATGATTAAATTAGTATCATTATTAAAAAGTAAATTTATGTAATTTATAATTGATATTAAAAGATCAACAAATAAAAGTTAGATAATTAAAAATTAATAATTCTGAATTTCAAACAAAAAAATTAAATTAATATGATTATTGACAAATGAAGTCAGGTAATTTATAATTGATATTGATAAATTTACAAGTAAAATTAAAAAATTAGCAACTAATGATAGTGCTTATCGATCAAATTGAGTGAACAAGTTTTGTAAAGCATCCACGAGTCAAATTAAGTAGTTAATAAGTCATGTAAGAAGATTAACAAGTTATGAAATTGATAAAAAATTAATATTCTCAAGATTATGGAGTCACACATAATTAATTAGGTAATTATTTAATAAGTACTGTTAAAAAATTAATAAATATAAGTAAGCAATTAAAAAATAAGGTACGTAGTAATTAAATAATTGACTTTAGGAAGTTCCAAAATAAACTTGTCACATCTATTGTTATAATATCATTTTAAAGTTTTTACAACTAACGTAAAGAAAACAATAAATGATAAAACATTATTAACATGGAACATTTATAGACTTCACCAAAAAAAAAGTTTTACTTGTTAATTTTGCAAAAAGGTGTTTCAGTCTTTTTAACTACCAATTTTATTTTAGTTTAGTTCAAAAAATTATAGATTTTTTTTTTAAATTTTTTGGGACTTAATTGACAAATATTTTTCTTTCTTAGTCCTTAGTTGAAATTTTCTCTTTAATTCAATAATAGGGTTATGTTGACCTATATTTAATTGTTTAGAGTTTAAAATATACCATTTATGAGTACAAAATTCAAATTTCTTCAAATTGCATATTAACCATACATGTTTTTATGTGTAATCAATGCATATTTTTGAATCCCATGGGAAGAGATAGAGTCACCAATTCAAGCTAAGAGCAAAACAATTTAGAACCAAATTTAAAATTCTTTTATATTTTTTATGTTTGGACTTGTCCAATAGGACACGAAAAATTTTGGACTAAACCGTCACAATGGAAGATTGCAATTTTTTGAATAATATATTAAATATTAATTAATTTTTTTAATTTTAGATTATTTTATACTGAAAGATCATATGTTTGAATACATTATGATAGATATTTTCTTAAGAAAAATGAAAATATTAGTATTGTTATATTTTTAATATATAAAATAACTTAAAATAATATTTAAATTATGTTTTTGAAATATATATATATATATATATATATAGATTCATAGAGAAAACACTTGTAGAAAATTTAAATTATCCATCTCATCCTTGATATTTAAATGCAAATTTTCCAATCATACTTGAGAGTGAGAATGGAAAGAAAAAAAAATCACACACACACACACAATATTACTACTTCATTCGTTTATATCTTGTGTTTTTCAAGCAATCCTTACAATATTCAATTACTCACTGCTTATTTCCTCCTCTAAGCATCAATTATTCACATGATTAACTATTTACAGATATCAAATTAAATCGTGTACGTAGCAGAGGGACGATTTTTTTTTTCCCTATAAATGAGTTAACCTTACATGTATTTATCAAAGTTGCAGATAAACAAATAAATGTTGAAACCATTTGTTGACGTTATTAGTTGTGGCCTGTGGGAACGAAAGGGAAAAAGAAAAAAAAAAAATATATATATATATATAACAAAACTAGCATAGTTGTTCAGTTTTGACTGAATCAAACCATTAAAAATAATAAAAATGGCCCAAAAAAATAAAATCAAGTTGATCGATTTAATGAATTTATTTGTCCACATAAAAAGTTAGGTTAAATCTTTGATTTAATTTTATTTGAATTTTTTATTTTGATTTCAAACATTTCTGTTAATTGTTGTTATACTTAGATTTTTGGTGATAAGAGTTTGTTAGTACAGAATACAGATTAATCTGGTTCTAACTTTGTGCGGACACACACACTCGTTGGGTGAGAGAAATTATTATTTTTAAATATAGGCTAAATACTTTTTTGGTGTGGCATTATTCATGTTAGGGCTTAAGACCAGCTGTATCGACCTGTACCCATAAAGACATCTAAAATCTAAATTGCAAGCCCTATATCATCATTATATTTATACCATATAACAAAAACATTAAAATTAAAAAAAATCACACCATAAAAAGTTAAAAAAAATGTAAATAAATATCGGCTCCCCATCAAGTCAATACACAAAACATGAAAATTTAAAAATTCAGATATGGGCTTGTAACTTGCATTTTAAAGAATCTAGCATTGCTTTATTTAAACTCCTTCAAATGAATAAATAAGATAAATTACAAAAAACGAAAAAAATTTAAATAATAAAGTTTATATGCAAATGAAGTCCAAGGGAGAGTCAAGTAAATTAAAGAAAATGTCTGTCGATTTATGAATAATTTAATTTATTGAGTTACGATTAAAAAAGAAAATATATTTAAACCCTTCCATTAATTATTAATAAATCCTACTCCAACGAACGGTGCGACCTTAGAACTAAATGAGACAGAGTCAATGAAATTCTAATAAAGAAATATATAGATATATAGCATGGTATTGAAAACCGGACCGAACTGGCTGGGTCAATTTGAAAACCGGTGAATCGGTCCCTTGTCTGGTCTGGGTTTGCCCTTAACCCGGTGAGAGAGTAAACCGGTGTAACCCGATCAACCCGATATAACCCGGATAACTCAGTGGGTTGACTGGGTTAATTGAATTAATATTTTTTCAGACTTTTACCCCAAAATAATGTCGTTTTGATTTTTTTTTTATTTTTAATTTTTCAAAGCTCTGAGTTTGAAAAAAAGATAACAAAAAAAGTGAAATTGAAGTCAAAAAATGAAAAATTAGAGATAGAGCATGCTAAGTTTAAAAATATAGTATTTTATTATAGTTAGACTTTTGAGTGGTTGGATTTAATTGAATATTTTTATAATTAATGTCTTTTTATTTAAATTGTATTATTTTTATTATGACCGGTTTGCCACCGGTTCAATCCCGATTAAACCACTAACCCGTGACCCAGTGTCATGATCAATTTAATGACTGATCCGGTTTTACGTACCTTGATATATAGACTAGTCTTCATCCAAAAAAATAAAAAAGAAAAGGAAAAAAGAAAATGAATGGAGTAACTTTTTAGCTTCAATATTTATAGTTCCTTTATTTTTGAATATTACATAGAGTTTAACGGATCCACTTATAAAAACTGCATCAGTTTTACATTTCTAGTTGTTAAACAATCCAACCCTTCCATTCCATCCCAAACACGAGAAATTGAGACGAATCACAATTTTCTTTCTACGTTATTATCCTCAACAGCAAAGCAATATCGTAAGATTTTGACTGGGTCAAATTAACTTGGGCCGAAGACCCTAAATTAATATTTTTTTTAATTTAATTTAATACCATAGGCCAGGAAAAAATAGCGTATATTTTGTGTTGCTCCCTGTGTAGTTGGACCAACCATGGCTCTGGTTAGGTTGCTTCCCCACCTCATTATTCCGAAAAATCTAAACGACGATTTTTCCTGAAAGAAATAGTATTTAATAATTATTAAACATTACTTTGCCACTGCATAAATAAATTAAATTCCATATTCTGTCCTACTTAACCGCATCATCTTTTTCTCCATTTCACAATGCGAATCAAAACCACAACTCTCACATACTTTGACCACTAGGATCTTACTATCACTGCCCCACCCTGATCTTTCCTTTCTGGATCATCCCATTAGCAGTAGAAGCAGTCTCTCACTTTTTAAACAAGAAAAACACCACCGAACCACCCCTTTCTTCCTCCTCCTACCTCTCTCGTCTTCGCTTGAAACCCTAATACACACAGGCCTTCTCTTTTGCTCTCTCTCTTTCTCTCTGTGCAACTGCGAGTGTGTATATATATATATATATATATATTTTCAATTCATGATCCGTGTTCTCTTGTGCACGTATATTTGTTGTTGTTCTGCTGCTCTGAGACAGATAAAGATTGAGCGAGGGAAGAAGTATGGTGGGTTGCGGATCAGAGGATTAAAGACCTGGGTCGTACTTTCTGAGACGCGTTTTCTTCCAGCGAAATCAGAAACATGTGTTTCCTTTTCTTCTCTTCGGCCCATACCTCATTCTGTGTCGTCCTCTTAAATGGGTATGTCTAAGAAAGCAAATCTCTCTGCGCTATTCCCATCTCTCTACCCCTCACGTCTTTCCATTTTCGGCTCCCTCTCTCCTTCTTTCCTCCTCTCATGGATTCGGCTAACAGTACTGGGAGCTTGCAGTCCTCCAGCGGCGGTGACGACGAGTACGATTCACGCGCCGAATCCATCTCCGCCTTCTTCAACCACCCAAACCCACCCATCCACGTTGCTTCTACACACTCAAACCCACCGTCTTTCTTCGATCCTTCGTCCAATTACTTAGATCCGATTCAAACATCACCGTCGCTTTCCGGCTTCGATATGATGTGGTCCAAACCAGCTAGATCCGACCCAAATCGCTCCGATCTCGGTGGCTTCAATCCTCCTTCTTCCTCGAACCAACCTTTTTTCTCAGGTCAGTTGGGCGGTCAAACCACTCAGCACCCTCTTGTTCCAGAAAGCTCATCGCGAGGATTGGTTTCTGTATCCGGAGGCGGCGCGAACGATCCATCCGGCAACAACAACGTTGCTCGGAACCCGAAGAAGCGATCGAGAGCGTCGCGTCGTGCACCCACGACAGTGCTAACGACGGACACCACCAATTTCAGAGCCATGGTTCAGGAATTCACTGGTATTCCGGCACCACCTTTCTCTTCATCACCTTTCCAAAGAAGTCGCTTGGATCTCCTCGGTTCTCACGCCACCGTAAGATCTCCTCCGCCACCTACTTATAATCTTCTGCGACCTTTTCCCCAGAAGCCTCCGTCTTATCAGCCATTCTTGTCGTCACTTCCGGCATTTCCATCATCGCCGGTGGACCAATTAGCGTCTTCTTCAACTAATTCTACCACTAATTCAAACCCCATTCTCTACTCACTTTCTTCTGATCTAGGCCTTCTCAAGCAGCCTGGTCTCAACGTCAATACACAGAACCCAATACTCAACTTCCCAACCATCCAGCTCGGAAGTTCTTCCGGTATTCTCGCCTCTAAAACTCAAGCTGCTCTGGGAATTCCGGCCACTAGTGCTGGTGATAATTCGCATCTCAAAATGGGCGTGTTGGAGGAATTCGGATTGAACCATGTGGATGTTAACACTGACATGAGTGGCCTTCATCATCATCATCAGCAGCAGCATCATCAGAATATGGTTTCTTCATCATCGGATTGGACCGAGAGAAGGGGCACGAACAATGGTGGCGATCATGGAGTCATGAGGTCTGCGAGTGGCAACTTGGGAGATTCATCAGAGCGAGACATAAATGGGAAAGTGACGAACTACTCACCGGCTGGTTCGTCAGATTTTCATGGAGAGAAGACGACGGATCAGTGTGTGGCTGCAAGAAGCGAAGGTATGGTGGAATCGTGGATTAATTGTTCTACTGATTAAGAAAATCCAAATGGGAAAGGAATAAGAAAAAGGAGACTTATTAATTTCTCACGCGCACGCACAGAGTCATCTAAAGGAAGAACGGATGGTGGTGCAACGCCAATGCATGAAGACCCATGAATCTTTTGGTACCCTCTCTTTTTAACCATGACCATCAGTTTAATCAAACCATGTCTTTATTTTTATTTTTTCAAACTTTAATTTGTCCTTTTGGTCCCTTCAAAATTATGTGTAAATAATAGCAGCAGCTAGCCCTTCTGATCTCTTCGGCCATTAATCAACCAATTATCATGGTGGTTTATTATTCTGAATATGCTTTTCTTACTGCTGTGTCTCTCTGCTAGCTAAACATTAACTGGCATGCATCTCTGTTGTTTTCATGTGATAGCAGTATGGGTTTTTGCTTTTGACTTGTACGTATGATAAGCATATAAGAAAATGTACAATGTGAAGCATTTGACTAGACAAATCCACATACATATCTTTACTCTTCATGGTACGTACGCCTTTTATTACTCTGATTTTATGGACGGTGTGGTGTTTTGACTTTTGTCTGATTCCTTCTCTATACTTTCATCCTCATGTCTTCCTTCTCCTCCCATCTTTTCCTCTGTTGTATATTTTGGTTTTGTCTATCTCTTCGTGTCAAATTTTTAAAATAATTTTAATTTAAAGGTGATTTAATGTTTCAAAATATAAAAAAATTGAAAAAAAAGATTTTATTAATTATATTTGTTTCAATATTGGGTATTTTTTAAAATTTATTTTCATGTTTTGAAATAATAAAATTATAAAGTATATTTAATAAATTTTATTAGCATTCCCAATTTTGTCTAAATGTATCTTATTAACTGGGGAGGGAGTAATTTATAAGTTCTGTGAGTAATAAGTGGCGAGATTAGGGGAATCCTTGTAGCCGCCGCATAATCTTTGTTTTATTGCAACCAAGGATTTCTTGATGGGTGTGTGTGTGTGGTTGTGTGTTTTTTTTTTCCTTCTTTCCTCACTACTCTTGTGCTTATATCTCCTTCGGGTTAATTTACTTTTCCAAATGATTTAGTCATAAGTCATAACCATATATAAATATATATATTTGTCAACTCAAATAAAAAAGAAGATATATATGTGAACCACAGGAACATGTTTAATGCATGGATCCGTACATCACGCCTTCAATTATATGAAGGCTTTATATATGGGATGGGCCATATAAATATGACTGTCAAAAGAGCGAAAGAATGTAATACAAACTTTATCATCGACTCTGAAGAAAATTCAAAGCCCTCTAGTACTCATCACGATCCATGGTCTTCGCTACGCCCAGCCAATAGTTATCAAGAAAATTAACAATTGATCTCAATTCCAAAAAGAAAGAAAAGTTTTGGCGTGCATGTAGGTTAGGCTTGTGCTCGGCCAAGGACAGACAGAGAAATAAATAAAGAAAAAAAAAACAAAAAAGGCATAGCGTAGTATAATCGTCGGAAAGTCCAAAACAAATGAAACAAATTAAAGGTAAATTGTAGATTGACAACTACGTTTTCCGAATTTCATTCTTTTAAGCCACATGGTATGTGAATTATGAAAATATTATTATTATGATTATTAGATATTGCTCGAATTGACAACAAAAGGAATATATAATTTGCGAAACCCTAGCTAGGATCCAGCTAGATATGAGTCAGAAAGAAAAGCCAGAACCACACGAAATTTCTTCGTCCATACTCCAGACTACGTGGTTTAACTCTACATTTACTTATATATATATATATATATATATATACATACTTTTTATTAAGTCGGAGGCATATCAAACGGATACATGTTCCCTCCACGGACGTTAATGGGAATATGGTTGAGGTCTGCATGAAAATAAAGCAATGTATTAGAGTTTATACTTGTGTATGGTTTCACATCTCATGATTATATATTCATTAATTTTTTTCTTTATTTCTGATCAAACGCATCAATATGTATTCACACGCTGGCTTTCAATGCGGATCTGAGGGTGTGAATGCCAAAGAAACTGCCGTCGTCATTCCTTGTGTTTATGCACATATAAAATATTTCATTACCAGATAAGTAATAACTATTTTTGTGAGTTTTAATTATCTTTTTGCCTCACATCATTGATTCTGACCAGAAATTTAACACACACACACACACACAAACGCGTAATATTTATGGATTAGAACAATAATAAATGGAGAACAATAGTGAAGAGAAAGATCTATATTTCTGCACCTGCAACTTTTATGATTGTAAGAGAGAGGCTTGCGTATGCATGAAACGGAGATATATATATAATTGATGGATCCAAAAGTTTGAGAGCTTTTTGATTTTCGTTTTTTCAGTGATGGATAGATGATGATATTTAACCTTTGTTGTGAATAAATTTAGAAAGATGAGAGGGACATGTGATATGGCTTTCGAGGTAAATTTGAGTCTTTTTTTTTTTTTTTCAGTGGGTGGATGAGGTGAGAGGGGGTAAAGGAGCAAGAGGGACAGGTGAATCTTAGAAAGTAAATGAGAGGATGATAGTCACAATCAAGTTTCCGATAATTTTTTTAAAATAATTTACAAATATCAATTAAATCATTACAAATTTAAAAATTTTAATTATAAGTAAAATATTTAAATTTTAAATGTAATTCTTAATTTGCAATTGAGATATGTCTAATCAATATTTGTAACTAATTTTTTAAATTAATTTAAAACTTAGCTAGCTGTAATTGATCATTTCTTTTAAGATTTTATTATCATTCTTTCAAAAGTAATTAAGCCACAGCAACTTGGGGTAATTTTAACAAAAGGATGAGCTAGAATTTTCACACTGGCTTTTAAATAAACTAGTTAAAACTTTCCATCGATACATTAAATATACTCCTTTTAGTTAAAAATATGAGTGATTTTTTTAAAAAAATTGTATACTAATAAAATTCTCATTTTTATAAAAATATATATTGTTTTTTTTAACCTTAATCCTAATTAAGAAAGCATGATGAGTGAAAAATACACTTACACAAATATCTAGATTAATAAATATAAAAAATAAAATAATTTTTTTATATATATTAAATTATTTATATTTTAAATAAAAATTAGTTTAAAAATGTTTATATTTTAAAGCCAAAGGAGTATCAAAGTCAAATGATTTGGCATGGGATTTTGGAAGATTTTGGAGGGGCCAAGGCTTCTCACAGATGGAATATATGTGCCTTATCTTTCACATAATTCATTGAAGCATCATGTATATATACAGTGGCTCTCGTGCCAGTATAATAAGCCAAGCCCTTTGCTACTCTCCAGCAATGATGATGACGCCTTTCCTATTTCCTACACATATTCTCATTAATAGTTCAAACAGTTATATGAAAACAATTTTCTTTAACCAATTATAATATAATAAATTAATATTTAAATTTTTGTTAAAAAAATACATAATTTAATGTCTAACCATACTTTAAACAATAATATTTTTAATATGAAGGTACTTGTAAATAATATAAAAATAATTTTTTTTATTTTTTATAAGTAAAAATTTAGGTGAAGTGAGCCTTAAAAATTCATCAGAACCAAAACATGTCTTTAAATTTAAGGAGTATTTATAAAAATATTTAAAAATAAGATTTTTACATTAATAATAAAATTTAATTTCATAATCTTATAAATTCTGGATGAAATTCTTTATCCTTATTAACTAGATCATCAAATTTTTGTATTTTCTCTATCTTTTTTTATATTAAAGAACTTCACCATTTTTTTAATCTTAAACAGTAAACCTAGCTGACTGGCAAAGGCAGATCCTTGCAGCACAGTGCCCTACAATTTTGAGCCTGAACGACACACAAAAAGGATGTGATCGAAGAACTTTTGGCAGCTTGATGTGAAAAGGCTGCACCAATAGTTTTTTCACTCTCGAATAAAGCATCTATTTTCAATAGCATCTATGCCACACCAATGCTAAAGTTATACACACACAACAGATTCATACACATGCAACATACGATATCATTTTAAATTGGACGTATATAATCTATCACCAGGCCTGACATATCTTGTGTTTCAGATTTTTCTCATGACTTGTCGGATTAATAATTATTTACTAATTAAATAAGTATCGTTAATTAGTTTCCCCATTTAATCCTCGACCGATCATTGGCCCAAAAAAAATATATTTTATTTATTTCCTGCTTTCTTCTGGATTCTGTGAACATAAAAATATAGAATATAAATGGGCGGGGCAGCCTCTAATTAAAGTTTATCAGGAGTTTACTTTAACGGCTTAGTGCTTACTTCGTCCTTTTGTGTGTGTGTGTGTGTGTGTGTGTGTGATATTTATTCAAAGTAAAACGAAGATGGCCCGGGCCAACAGGAAGTCATCAATATTAATAAGTCAAATGTCTTTATTTTTATTTTTTATTTTTTGGTTTTCGGCATATAATAAAGAAGAGGGACCACGAAAATTGGTTATTTCGTCTTATTCCAACAAGATCATCACTTTTTGGATGATTGGATGATTTCATGGAAGTTATCTTTGATAGTTGATTGTTACAACTGTATTCGGTAAAATATGAAAATGAATATAAATTTATTGTTTTAACATTTTATGTATATAGTTGGATTAAAAAGTCATTAATAAAAAATAAAAATGACGGTAATAAAAATAAAAATTGTATATTACCAAAATATAATATAATGTATTTTTTAAATTCAATTTTGGATGTGTGTGTGTCACTCGTGTTTCCAACTTTTCAAGATAGATACACATACATACATAGTTATAGTCGCTTGTACATTGCTTAATCTCAGAAGGGGACTTCCACTATATTTATCAAGGTTATCATTGATTAAAAATTGGATATAATCTTGAAATGTTTATTTTTTAAAAAATTGTAAAAGAATATTTTTCTTAGCATTCAAAAACCAAAGTTATTTAAAGTTCGAAGATTAAAACCTACAGAATTAATAGCAATTTAGTCATGCACCATATCATTTTTCTCAAAATAAACAATAATCTAAAAATTTAAAGCAACATATTACCAATGCCAAGTTGAGCTTTTCTTCTTCTTGTTTTTTTAGTATAACTATCTAACAAATTTAGATTTGGGTACTTTAAAACAATAGGGAATAACACTACTAATATGGTTTTAATTTTGTGCATTCACAAATAAGTGATTTTTGACACAAGTTTTGGTTGCTATAGTATTGGCATTTTTCTTACATAGAGGCAGTTAACGGTTTTATATATTTACCTGACTTGATCATCAATATATCATACAACTAATAATTAATAACAATTAAGTTCTTTAATGAGAAGATTTTGGC